ACAGATCATAACGGTCAATCAATTCAGGATTGTTTCCCAAAAGTTTCGAAGAAACAACTACAGTTTTACCACCAAATGTTATCAATAATGCAACTAGTACTGAATTAACTATCACGTCAACTTCTAGGAATGTATCCAAGATATTCCAATGATGGTTTAGAGAGAAATGTCAAGTAGTTTGATCATCGATCGTTGGTGGCACAGACATGTGTTGCTTCAAGGCACCATTTTTATTAGGGCGTCCATAAATGCAAAATATTACAAACATGTAAAACTTTTCAATATCTGATCAACATTGTCTTTAACAGAAGCGTATAACGCGGACTATAATGTTGATTTATTTATAAATTTGAAATTTTGAAGTAAATTATTAAGTATCTTTACAAAATTCCATTCATCAAGATTTCATTAGTTTTTTTCTATGTTGAGAGTTTCAATGAAAGCAATACACAAGGAAATGACCATATATTTTGTGAAAAACAGCTTTGAACATTGCCATGTTGAATTATTTTTTAATTGTAGAAAACGAAACAAAGTCTTGTAGATGACCCGATGAGAGAGCAGAATATTAAGACTCTATCTCAAAATTAACTTGTCTCAGGGGTGGTCCACAAGCTCTCTCCATTTGTATAGTTCTTAGAAGTTTATCTTTGAGTTGTTTTCTTTACTGTTCGGATTAACCATTATATCTTTTGTATAGAGAAAGTTTGTAATACTAGACACATCCTTTCTTTTTCCAATATGTCGCCATTATGAAGAAGTTTCTCAATATTTAGACACACACATATATGCATATATTCCTAAATAAGCAAACCTACCTTGGCATTCGGTAACCAATAAAATTACTGCAACTACAGCGTACAAAAAGAAAGCAATGAGAACGACAACAAAGGAACTAGATAGATGATGATCGTCCAACCAGTGTGATTCCCGGTAATTATCACCATAGATACTTACACTCACCATCAAACAAAATCCTACAGAATTATGAAACATAATTAAGTTAAACCTTACTTAATCATTTTAAGTATATAAATTATATAAAGCCATAGTGGGATATTCAATTGGTGATCTCTAGAAGTATGTTTTTAGTGTATTATTGTTGTTGTTTTCTTGTCTCGTCGTTCTGCTTGCATACATATGGCAATATTTTCCATAGTATGAGACTAATTGATTTTCTTTCATAAATTCTGTGGATAAGAAATACAAGCAACCTTTTTTTATCGTTTGTTCTTCTTAATGCTGTTAGTATTTACTTTTACTGCTTTAACTGAATGATGTCTTATGACAGTTAGAATACAGTTTTGAATACTAATATTGTACTAAAATACCTATATCAAGTCAGGAATATGACAGATGTTTCCATTCGTTCCGTTGGTTGTTTGATTTAGTCAGTTTTTATAGACTTCCTTTTTTTAAATTTACCTTGGAGTTCGTTATTTTTGTTATACTTTTATAGTAAAATGAGTTTTGTCCACATATCATTGTTTCATAATTATTTGTATTTTATAATAATAGATTACTAACCTATGTGCATATCTACATCTTCCTATCACGTTTTCTTGGTTCCTAATCTTAGAACAGAAATTTAGGCTGCATTTGTTAGCTGTATGAAGCTCAAGAGGTACTGAGGTGATATTTTTATTTTGGTATGATTGTATTTCTACAGTATGTGGAAAGTTTTAACAGGTATTTATATGACATGTCACATGTCTGTCAAACAAGTTTGAGTTTTTATGCCATCAATCGGTTTAATTGAATACTCATTTTTGAAAGTGCCTATAACGTTATGTTTTAACCAAGCCTTTTTATTAATATTGAAATGGTTTATTTCCTGAAATTTTGTTAGGAGTTTTCTACACAGGATAAACATCGGAATAAGGTACATTTGTAAATCTTTTTTTCATGACTTAAAATATACTCACCAGTCATCGTGCAAAATACTATGGTGGTAATACTGACTTTACTATTCTGCATTGTTTTTGTAACACATGTTAACAGTACAAACATTATCGAGGTAATCAAACCCATGCAACATGAAATACATTGAAACACTTGCGTTGAAATCAACCAAACTGTAAAAACGGTGGAGAAGAAAAGTTAAGGAAATACTGAAATAAAATTACAAAATGAGCTGAATAAATATTATAACATACATGTTAAGTTATCCAGAAAAGCGGTTCGGACGTATGAAATTTATAACGTGTTGTTTTTAATTTTTATTGAAATTGTTTTAAGTACTTTGATAGCTTTTTGTTTCTGTAAATTCATTCTTTATTTAACTTTGAAGATCATATTTACTGCAATGATATAATATGATGAATTTAATTTCGGTCTACCAATATTTGTGTCACAGTCGCTGTCATTATCTGACCCTTTAACAAATCGGGGTATACCAGTCACCAAACTACATACTACTGCATATTTGCAGTTAAACTACACCAGTCGTTCACTCTAGGTACACTCAGGTCAAAAGTTCAAAATGAAGTTAGAAGTAAATACCAAAAGTGTATGTTTTCTATGTTATGGAATAACACTTGCTGAATGATTTAGGGCAGTAAAAGTATAGTTTTACTACATTACTCCTCGACATTATGTTAATAGGAAGACATGACTGGAAGCGACCATCCGTTGGATGCAGAAGAATAGCAAAAAGTGGAACAAACATGGAATCCCTGCTCAATGCTAAAAATAACTATAGAAAAGCTAAGATAAGGCCAGGCTAAAAAGTCATGTAAAGGACGTCAACGGTCACAATAATTTCCGGTAATGCTTACCTGGGTAGACTTGTGGTGGAATATATTGGCTATGAGGAGGAGCACTTATACTAATGGAATGCTTTAAGTTGTCTGTCACAAGAAGTTTCCTCAAAGAAAAAAAAACCTAATAGATTTACTAGCTACTATAGAAATAGGGAAATAGATATAAGAAGTGGTATGAGTGCCAATGAGACAACTCTACATCCAAGTCACAATTTGTAAAAGTAAACCATTATAGGTCAAAGTACGGCCTTCAACACGGAGCCTAGGCTCACACCGAACAGCAAGCTATAAAGGGTCCCAAAAATGACTAGTGTAAAACCATTCAAACTGGAAAACCAACGGTCTAATCTATATAAAAAACGAGAAACACTTATGAACCACATCAACAAACGACAACCACTGAACATCAGGTTCCTGACTTAGGACAGGTGCAAACAAATGCAGGGGGTTTAAACGTTTTAATAGGCGCCAACCTTCACCCTACCTGAAACAACAGTGTAACATCACATAGAAAGACACACCATAAAATATCAATCGAAATGGCTTAACTCAATCAAAAGACATACCAACAAAAACAAGGGAACACACACTGAACGAACAAATTTGATCTATGACACAATGTAAATAGTTTAGTTATCATCATCTAGTTCTTGTTTATATTCTTGTCTTTCAAGTAAATAAGAATGTTTTGGTCCTCTGAATTTAAAAATAGAAAGGGTTTCTTCTGTGGCATAATGGACAAAGTAGTTCATCTTTAGCGATCACTACTTTGTCGAGTTCGAACCCCAACTCCGACCTTAATTTACAGCTATTACCAGGTTTCCTGTAGAATGTCGGTTGTTCTGTCAGGAATCGAAATCAAAACGGATTACAAATCTATCAAATAACATCCTTAGAATATTGATATATATAATCTGTCAGATTTCCCTTTAACATTTTCCAATTTTATCTTACATATTTGCTTAATTAACGGTTGGGCTACAAACTTCTTGCATAGTAGGTATATTGTCCGGCTGGGATCGTGTTTTTTTTCTAGTGATGTGATCGGGTTTTATCGAGTGTGACCACTTTTTTTCGAGTGAGTGAATATGATAAAAATGTAAACAAACAGACATCCATTCTGGTACGTGAAAAGGTGCTAGAACCTTATATAAAAGATCATACAAGGTTAATAAGTCTTTGTGATAAAAAGATATTATCAACCCTACATTAGTTTGTTTTAAAACGTTTTACCTTTCCCTACAATGGTTAATTCCAAAATATAAACTAAAGCCATTTTTATACACATACCAATGCAACTGTTAAAGGAAATGCATACATGGAATCTATATATACTTAGATATACAGACACTTTACAAAAATTCTAGATATTGCATTGATAAGGACATTTTGGAGAGTAAACTCATTTTTATATGTCCGTGTTTGTTCGAGAGCAGTCCGTGATCTTTTGAGTGCGTCCATGTTTTATCGAGTGAAAATATGTAATATGTCAGTGCCTTTGCGTTTAAAAATCAATGAAAAGGTTCAAATAAAGTACTTTCCAAAGCACGAAACCAATGCATTAAAATATTTTGATTATGCTGTATTAACACGTATATGTGCGGGATGTACAAGTAGACAACCACGTCCGGTCAGAATTGGGCGTGTGGAGAGAGTGCCACGCTGCGTGTTTAGCATTCTTGCAACAACTCTTTCAGATGGCCATTTGCAATATAAAATTTCTGTCCCTATCCAAGATAACCTCATTTTCCAGTGGCAGTCTAAATTTCCCGACTTTCATCCCGAACGGCCTCTATTACATCTATTGTATTTATTGTTAATTTGTTCTCGTCCTAAACATGCATGAAATATTTGCCACTGAACGTTAAGCAAAGAACAATTAATCATCCAAAATCATTGTTTATAAATTAAACATTATAAAGAAACTAAGGTTTCAACTCTTAGGCAAAGTTGAACCGTAGATGGATTTGGCTATTTTTAGGTCCCTTTTGGTCATATAGCTCTTCAACTGTTTCGGTTCTTATACATCCCTGGCTTTCAAATATATGAATTTGAGCGTTCGGGATGAAGGTAAATCCAGAAATGCGCTCCGGACGAAAGAAATTTATAAAGTGTTGTTTTAATTTTTTTATTAGATAGTCCATTCAATTCAAATGGTATTGTCACTGGAAATAGAACATGGGCGGATTAAGAATGTGTTTTTTGTTTTTTGTTATTGGAATATTTTTTTTCGGGGGGGGGGGGGGGAGGAGGCCTCTTTAAGTAGATTTTTTTTTACATGTATTTATATTGAATTTTTTTACTGTTTTGCCTTAGTTTTTAAAACTCAGGGGTTAATATATTATAAAACATTATTGACTGTAAAACAAAAGTAGCATGAAATAAGAATTGTATAGGTTATGAGTACCCTGTACTCCTGAATTCTAAAGACTGTTTTGAAAAAGACGCAATGATTTCTTATATATCGCAATACTGCAAGTTTATTGTAAAATGTTTTCAGTACAGACAATCAACATTTAATCGAAATTGGTTAAACTTGATCAGCATTGTTATATGTTTTTGTGACTTATTGGGAATATATAATATTGTTCTTCACTAAATTACAGTTATAAACTATAAGAAAAATCAATTTTAGAATGCCTTCTTTCTTATTCACATTTTCTTTCAAAAATACTGCACTCGAAAAAAACACGGACAATGTAAAACGCTGAATTTTAAGTGAAATTCAAGGAAATTGTGCGAACGCACAATAGTATTCAGAATAAGATGAACAATCACGAATAAAACTATCATACTTGCGAAATAGCAATAAATCGATCTGATCGCATGTAATATTACTCGAAATAACCTTATCTACACTCGAAAAAGTGGGTCCCGGTAAAGTGAGAAACGGAACAGAAACGAAACAGAGCGAAACGAAACGAAACAGAGCGAAACGAAACGAAACATGGCGAAACGAAACGAAACACAGCGAAACGAAACGAAACACGACGAAACGAAACGAAACATGTAAATTGAGAAACGAAACACTACGAAACGAAACAAAATCTGTATTTTGAGGAACGACATATAGAAAATCTTCCTGACGAGATATGTGCATAGCCGAAGACACCGAATATTCCATTCAACTTTGAAAAAATTACTCGTCATTTACATTGGTATCTTCGTGCATTAGTTGCAATTAGTCAACTTGTTTTGTTAAATGTGAGGCTTAGGTGCGCCAGCTATGCTACAGAGCCTGTTCTAATATCAAGGCTTCTTGTCACGTGCAACAATGAGGGAACATTGAAATTAGAATAGCTGTTACTGGGGATCGTCTGAATATCAGCCTCAAACAAAATTGGCCATTCTTACCTTTGTGACTAGGATTTTTATGTACCGCCTACGGTAGTGGGGCATAATCTTTTCTGGTCTGTGCTGCCGTCCGTCAGTCCGTCCGTCCAATACTAGGTTTATTCTGTTTGTTAAGATAGATTAAATTACAATAGAGTTGTGTTCATGTCAATTTAAAACACATGTTCATTATGACATGTTCTTTTTGAAATGTATGCCAAATTAGAAATTTGAACCATAATTTGCGATTCAATGAACATGCAAATTTGATATTTTAAGCGAGTCATACTGTCCTATGGATACTTAACACATGACATGAGTAAAATCTCTTTGTTCTTACTGTGCTATAATCTGGATAATGCACAGCAAAGGTGTGCATTTACTACCTCAGATATACTGCACAGTTCAAAAGTACTCTTACCTTTAGGGGCGGACGCTCGATTTTGAAAGGAGTGTAATTCCATATAAAATTTAAAAAATATCCCCGAGTGTACATGTAGCGAATATAAAAAAGAAGATGTGATATGATTGCCAATGAGGCAACTCTCCACAAGTGACAAAATGACATAGTAATTAACAACTATAGGTCACCGTACGGCCTTCAACAATAAGCAAAGCCCATATCGCATAGTCAGCTATAAAAGGCCCCGAAATGACGTACAAATTTAAAACAATTCAAACGAGAAAACTAACGGCCTAATTTATATACAAAAAATGAACGAAAAACAAATATGTAACACTTCAACAATTGACAACCACTGAATTACAGGCTCCTGACTGTGGTAACGAAATCCCTGGCTTAATAATTTACAAGTAATACATAGATTACGTTCGTTAAAATCAAAAACGTCACAACAGACACGGGCATAGCGAACGAGTTGTGAAATTCAAACACCATAAGATGGTGCCAATGGAACATCACCATCCAAAAAGGGAAAAATAACAATCGGGAACGAAAAATCGTCCCTTTTGTCGTAAATTTCGGCAGTATATTTAGAAAATTCCTGATTTTTTAACGAAAAAATATCATCAAGATAAAGGTAAGTGTTGTTGAATTTATCAGTTAAATGCAATTTTGACGGGTCTTTACTTAGTGTGGTCATAAACTATGATTCATAACAGTACAAAAACAAGTCTGTTATTAAAGGGGCGCAATTAGTGCCCATTGAAATACCTACAACCTGTCGATAAACTTTGTTGCCAAAACGTACATAAATATTATCAAGGGGAAATGAACAGCGTTAAATCATCTCATCCCACCTCCAGTAAGTATATCTAGCATATTTACCTTTCACATTAAAGAAGAAGGTTTTAAATGAATTGCAGCAAATATATTTGCATTCGGATTTACCAAACGACCATTTAAATAAATAAGAAAACTTTTGTTTGATAAGATTGTGTGGAGGTGTAGTGTAAAGAGTAGAAAAGTCAAAACTGTCAACAGAATTCAAAAGACCATCAAAAACATCTAATTTATTAAAATCATCCATTTTTTTTCACTCCAAAATAGACGATTTTATGCTAAAACATGATATGTTTTCCACTCAAAGGGTGGGACATAAAATATTTTATAATATTTTGTGTACAATGTACATCTGAAATCAGTGTTTCCCAGTCAAACCAGATAATAATATTTTTTTTGTAATATCTGCCGAAAAAGAAATGTATTTTAGAATATCCAAATAAATAAAATCTGATTTGGATTATAGTTTCGTGCTCAATGGAATTAATTACGACTATTTAGATATGTATGCCTTTTAAGTTTTGGGATCGAATTTAATGAGGAACATATTCAAGTTTGTATCAAAGCAGGTTTGGGGGATAAGCTACAGATCAATCAGATTTTGTTTAGAAGCGACATGTCTTTAAAATTGATACAGTTAAAAAAATGGAGGGAGGGTAAGTTAAAGATTGAAAAATGTAACATTATTTTCTGTTTACATATTAATATTTTTAATTTAGGTACATCTCCACATGGGAAGGTCGACTATTCATATGTATTATATATTGATAGAAACAAGTGTCTGTGTACATCTCTCTTTGGTTCATCTTCCTAGAATTATTGAGGGAAAGAAAGACAATAAATCTATACACAATAACCAGTTTAGTTATGATTTTTCATGCACCGATTCAAAAGTACACTCAACGAAACTAAAACTGTATGAAATGTAGGTTACACGTCAATAAGACAGCAACCAAACGACAAGAACAAACTAAGGACATCTAGAAGGCAACTTATAGTATAATTTAAACAATAGATAGGTGTCTACACAATATGTCCATTTCTAATTCGTCACTATAACATATTCTAGTTTGTATTCGTTTCTTCTTTGTTTTTAAGTTTCAAAGATTTTTTATTATGGCAGTCCATGACCATGATAACATTCTTCTTCATTCATTTTGTTGCAAATCAGGCAAGACATAATCTCGTTTAATACAAGTTCAATTCATATAAACCTTTTAAACTAATTACAACAGGTACCATCGACTTCAACTGTATGGAGATGCCGTATGTACTTCGTAACTTATCTTTTGAAAATGTGGTAGATACTATTCCTAGTAACACGCGTCTGTCAAGATAAATGGCGAATAACAAAACACAATATTCGGTACCGTAAGTTTAAAAAAGAAAGTAGAACATGACGAGTCGAACATACAATATTGTATGAATAAAAGGAGAAAGTGACTGTGCTCCAGTACCACTTTAGATCACAAAGTCACGATTAAAAATTGCCTCGGGTCACCAGGTCACTTTTAAGCAAACTATTCAGTTCTAAACTGATTTGATTCTCGGTTTAAACATTTTAAAGGTCACATGTACTTTCAAAAGAGACGTCAGGTCGCAACGTGGTCAATCCCCCCTTTGACGTCCCAGGTCGGACTTGACAATGTTGTAGCCACATATAGGGTGAATGCATCCAACTTAAACATTTGGATCCTACTACCTAAAGTTATGTATGGCAAAGTGTCCATACCATTTACATATTTTGGCTATGGTTATTTCACTTGGGATATGTACATGTAAGTGTTTCATTCATGAATCAAATACCTTTCTTGGCACAAACTCATAAACAATAAATTATAAAAACCTATTGCAGATTATTGCATATACAATGATATTAACAGACGTGATCGAATGAAAAGTTATACATACTAATATATCATAATATTATTAATGATAACAATGTGTGGGACTATAAAGCACAGAAAAATACAAAGCACAATAGAACTGGTATGTAATGCGTTCTTTCTAGTGCGTCAATCAGTGAAGTTAATTCCAGTGTGTAATGCGTGTTCGAATAAACCGTTAATCACACGTTCTCTTTGGATTAAACGAGATCTTTTGTATACATATATGAAAAAAAAGCAGAGACAGATCCAGAGTTTAAGGAAAGGGGGAGGCATAATTGTCCAAAAAGATAATCAATCCACCAATGTTGTTTTTTTGACGATTTTTAAGCAAACGATTAGATGATATCAATCAAAAGGGCCCTCTAAACCCACAATGATCTTCGGCTATATCAGGAAGATTTTCTATAGGTCGTTCCTCAAAATACAGATTTTGTTTCGTTTCGTTGTGTTTCGTTTCTCAATTTACATGTTTCGTTTCGTTTCGTCGTGTTTCGTTTCGTTTCGCCATGTTTCGTTTCGTTTCGCCATGTTTCGTTTCGTTTCGCTCTGTTTCGTTTCTGTTCCGTTTCTCACTTTACCGGGACCCCGAAAAAGTGGACCAATTCACTTGAAAAAACTTGATCTAAGCCGGACATTATACCTATCGTGTTCTTTCGTAACATAACAAAATAAAATGTCGTAAAAGAAAGGCGAAAGATACCAAAGGTGCATTCAAACTTATATGTCGAAAATAAACTGACAACGTAATGGAAAAAAAAAGACTTTTTTTTAATTTGAAATATTAGCATTAGTACTTAGATATTCGCCAAGTCCTTGACTAAAAGATGTTTTACTTCAGGATGTCCTATAGAAAGATTATAATGTTGAGTAAGGCCTTGACTCATATCTAATTTTACCAAAACTAAGTGTGAAATGGCGTGACGTAAATGTCCAGATTATCTTAGTCGGAAAGAACCCAATACTCAGACAGTTTTTCCATTTTTTGTATATTACTTAAATGGAAGATATGAAGGCCTAAATCAGATATAAAAACTCATAAAAGATACCAGGCTGATAATTTGGTACGCCAGACGCACGTTTTTACATAAGACTCACCAGTGGCCCTCGAATGAAAGCAGTTCGAAGGCCAAATCGACAACGAAGTTAAAGAACATTAAAAACCGAAAATTCCGAAAAGTTGTGCCAGTTTACGACTTAGGAAAACTATATGCCTGGGGGTAGACAAACCTAAGTGTTTCGAATAATTCAACATTTTATAAACAGTAAATTTACATAAAAATGAACAAATCAATAATATTCCATGTCAACACAAATGTTTAATAATATATATGTATATAAGGCATACTGAAATACATTACTGGTGTCCAAAAGGGAAATGTGTTGTAAAGAGCTGATGCATTTTATAACAATCATTATTATCAAATTTCACAGTTCTGAGCTTGCGAAAAGGTGCAATACAGGGTGGTAGATTAGGTCTACATATCTCATCCTCAATGCATAAATTTGAAAGAATAATTGATAAACCTGTGACGATACAATTACAAACCTGGTGTATCTCCTGTTTTGTCATAAATACTCTCACAGCACGAAAATTGTCTTTCGTCATAACAATATTTCCAAAGACCTTGACGCGAAGAATCAGAATTTGACCATGCCGCTGTTCCTACGCCAAATGCTTGAAGGACAACAGCCACAGGTATCAGAAAAAAAGCTATTCGCACGGCTATTGAACATTCGATAAAGTTGTCTATTCCTTGGCACAAGGCGCCTGCAATTGTCATTCTTAAAGTCAAATATGTCAGTTCATGTTAATTTTCAAAACATTACTTAGAAAATATGAGTGCGCAATAAATTCAATATATGTTTAAATCTTCCTGGTTGTTGATTTGTTTACGTTGGCAACATGCACTATTGAAATCCAATCAGTCATTATTTTATCTAAATTAAGCACCAATAGATGACAACAATAGATTTACATCAATAAATAAACTTGTGTTGGTAAATTGGAATGGAAATGGCCAGGTGATCATATGTGATGTACGTAATGTAATAACTAATGAATGAGGTTTTTAGGAACGAATTCAAATGACAATGTATTGTATACAGATTTACGAGTAGAATTAATGGAAGAATAACACTTATAAATGTATATATGTTAATGATACCGAGAGCTCTATCAATTTTGAATTAGTCAATAGTGAGATCGAATTTGTTAAAGAATGTGAAATTTTAGTCAGTACCCGAAAATGTTTTGAATGCATTGCATGATGTATTTAGATAAAAGGGAATGTAGATGTAATCAGTTGAAAATCATAGCGATTGAGTTGAAATTGATATTTTACCAATACTTCTGTATTATTCCGAAGCTTGAAATATTAGGAAACAGGCATAAATATGACATGAACAGATATATGTCATTAAACGATGTGAATGCGGTTTTTTTTTTTAAATACTTAACAAAACTTAATGTTCCATCTGTACATTTTTTTTCGGTTTTCGTATTTTCTTTTTTGGCGAGCGAACATCTGTCTTCAATTAATACAAGTATATTTTAAGATAGTACCAATATGTTCTCGTGGGAGTTTTTACGGAGATACAACTCCACGATAAATAACAATGGTTCACATGAAAGCATCCGACAAGTCATATGACGATGGGGCTGATAGCTAAGTATTGATAAAAGACACGATATCAACTTATTTGTAGATACAATACAACATAGATTTTCAAAACATGTTTGATTGTCAATAAAACAAAATATCCATTAGTTTTTTGTCTCTTTTGTTCCAACACTACCATTCGTCATTATCATACATGAAATTATTTCAAAAATGTTGTATTCGTTTTTGTTCATAAATGTAAAAAAAAAATGTATGAACCTGGAATTTTGCTAGGTATTTCTAAAATATGAACTTCATTTACATAAAAAAAAAACCATGTATATCAATCAAATTGGTAATTATAAATGCATAGCTATATCTGAAATATTAAATAATAATAATAATGTATCATACATTTGTAGCTGCTTAAAATATTATTAAAGAAAACGTCATCAAGACAGTGACTAAACAACGCAAATGAAGCAAAATTAGACATCGTCATACGTCCTCGAACATTTGAACGCACAACAAACGACAAATTCGAAATCGCCCATTAACATTTTATACAGAAATTCAACGGTGACAAATAATTATCAACACCAAATTATCAGTAAAAATATGAAAAACAGCAATTACTGATGTAATACTGGACACCTGAATACCACACAACTTAAACTTATATTTTCTGAAACATCCGACAATAATGCTCAATAATATCCGAAAAAAACTCCATAATTTGACTTTAAAGTTGTACCAAACACCTTGACAAAAATTAATTTGGCTCGTTAAATTTTCATAAAAGTTCGACAAAATATTTACTTTGACCCTTTGACAGAAATATTAAAATTAAAAAAAAAATCTAGAGCCAAAAAATTTCATTGGATATATTGCATTTTGACAAACACTAATTTTGATCATTAATAAGCTAAATATTTCCTTAACAATAGAACGTGATTAAAACGTTCAGCTGATATCCCTGTAGTGTTATGTACCACCTTAAAAAGGTATAGGGCAAACGTCCCAATAATAGATAGTTTTTTCTTTCACTTGAGTTTCGGCTACTGTGCTCCTGAATTGCTTTTATAATACACAGCCATTTATTATATAAGAAGAGCACAATTTAAAATAGCAACAACAGAAACAGTCTATATACATAAAACAAAATAGATAACAATTTAATTTGTACGCTTAAGTATCAATAATCGAATATAAAGACTTCCCAAAAATTGAGAAAATAAATATCAAACAAGATGTTAGTTTTGCTTAATCATTTGTTAATAAGTTTATTCACCTTAATTTGTTAACAAAAAATAAAAGAAAAACTCTTTTACTTTTGTTAAAGGAAAAGCCATTCATATAAATTTTTGAAATACCATACATTTTTGTCGATTACAAGATGCTTCCATAACAAGTCTCAATTGTTGAAAAATCAAACGAAAGACTTGATCAATTCATTCACAAATACTAAATCAATGATATCAAATATATTTAGTATGGAAATATTTTATTCATAGAAATCCTTTTATGCACCTGATGAGAGGAATGCAAACATATTACGTTAACATAATAAAAATGAATTAATCATAGATATTATTTGACTGGAAAAACTACTGTATTGCTGCTGTTTCAGCCAATTGTCGATGACCTTCCAGAAATGATTGCAAAGAATATCAACAAAGATGTTACTCAAGTTCTAATTATGAATAGCTATTTTCAGTATTTTATGTCGTATTTAACTAGGTGGTTTTTAACGACCTTGACTGGCTGGTAAGCCCTCGCACGGTCGGCTCGGTGCCCGAAGGCGTTTGGTGAGCATTTAATATTTTGTTGTTGTCGTTAAGCTGGAAAAGGCGGCCATTTTGGTTTTGCTGGTTCGATTTCTTTTGTTGACTATTTTGAGTTTGGTTTGTTGTTTACTTTACAACGGCTGCTTCCAGGGCCAGGTTGATCAGCTGGGCAGTCCGCTAACCATGCACGTCGATGTTTTAATGGTGGATGAGTCGTGGATACAGTTCTAGATGTCTACAGGAAACCTGTTCAAGGTGGTCTGCAGATATCGGTTAGTGCTGTCACAAACGAATAGTCCTTTACCAAAAACCTCGGATACAGGGTTCTCGGACGTCAGCGCGACATTACACTCCCCCATCCACAACGGGTTTTAGAGTGCATGCTGACGCGTCCAATATTAACTTGTTGTACTGTACGGCGTTGAGTTAGTTTACTGACTGTAGACGTAAAGTCGTTGAACCAACTGGTCAGCGTAACATCTTGTACCTAGCAGATAATAAGGAGCTGATCCAGCACGTCCGTTCATCTGTAAGGACTGAGAAGTGACTGACGTGAAAGTGTCGTAACTACACCACCTATACCTATATATATATTTATCTTACCTTCTATACAGTTCTAGGAATATTATTGGTTAAAAGCGACCGCGTGGAGATCGTGTATATTTCATATGGGGTTAGAAAGCGTGGTTTATTTTAATACACGGTTAGTAGTGGTGTTACGTCCCTTTATAAAAATAACACGGCGTCGAGGAAAAATCTGAAACGATTCACCCAGACAACATATGAAGAAATTGATGATGAACGATTGAAATAAATGTAGAAAACACATTAAAAGCTAACAAATAGTTGCAGTTGGCATTTGTTTTTGTATAGACCAATGAAAGTAGGTTATTTAAATTGAAGACTTGATCACTTTGATGAGACATTAGTCGAAATGCCACATGTTAAGATAGTCGGCAAGCTAAATTCGTTACACAGTGTGCTAGTGACCTAATACGATATATATGGGCTCAGTAAATTCCATATGGGGTGAAAGCGAACCCATATGGAATTTACTGACCCCATATATATCGTATTAGGTCACTAGCCAATTGTGTAACTAATATATATAAAGTGCCTAGAAAATCGACTTAACAATGTTATTGTAGATCTGATTTTTTACTTCCTCCCCGAGCGGGGCTGTAGCCCGTACTTTTCACTTCTACCTTCTACGACAACACCGCCTAGCATTGCGCAGACGCCTTATACCGTCCTCTAACTATAGCTTATAAAATCAGCCTTCGTTTCGGGAGGTGTTACTTTCTCGTAGGTATTAAACAAGGACATCTAACACAATACATGAAATATATTTAAGTGTACAGAAATGATCATCTACTCTTCTGTTCAGTAGATTACAGGATGCTATTCTATTTTTGAAGCATACAATCACTATGAATTAAAATGAGATATGTCTGCCTATGTGTAGTGACAACTTTAAATTATACCTTGTCCATCGGATTTCTTATAATTAAGAAACACCAGACCTTAGAATATTTATAAAGTGCCTAGAAAATCGACCTAACAAAGTTAGAGTATATATGTAGGACTCTAAAGTGCGATGGGGACGCTAAAGTGCGATGGTCACGCTAAAGTGCGATGGTCTGCGCTTAAGTCCGATGGTCTGCGAAAGTATAGACGTAAGAAACGTAGTCGGATTATGACGTTAACAGTTGTTTATACAAACCAAAAATGAATATGCCGGAAGACAACTTTTAAATCAAATGTCCATGACTTAATTTCAGACCTAACCGTGTTTTGTCGGCTGAAGCAAATGTGTTTTTTTTTGGGGGGTGTTGGAAGAAGGACTTGTGTCCTGCAGTCGACCATTTTACTATATAGATACAAAATAGTATATGCATAGGTATCCTGTATTCTGCTTCTATTGGAAGCGAACGGATACATTTAAATCATTGTTTACGTTGCAGTTTACTTTGCGGTTCCCATCAAAATATTGCCGATTTTATTGAAATGTAACGTCGGTAAAATAAAGGTACATGTTTTTTAAGCGTAAATTATAAATTGTCAGCTAAAACATAGCTTGTTCAATGTAGGAAAATATGACATGTATTTGTGAAAAAGGAGAAAGCTCGGCGAATATCGCATGTTTCTCGCATTTAAGCTTGAAGCCTTGTATCAATAAATACTAACTTACTTATTCCGACAATGAATGCATTTTGTATTTGTAATTTACAATGACGACTGTAAAGTTATTGATATACTTTGTGAGCGGCAAGCTACACCAATTATCCAAATATTTTTAGATACGAAAGCAAAAAAAATCATTTTACAAGAAATACAGTATTTTGTGACACATAAATTACCCTTTTAGCAATGATTGCGTGGTCGGTCTTCTAAATTTAGAAACAATCACTTTAGCCTACCGGTCAATCATAAAGCCTATTACATATGTTATACCTTAGCATACTAGCTTTTGCAAAAAGACTTGTTTTTAACATCCATGCACTTTACTGAATGTTTTAAGCCCTCGAACCTTACCCTATTGTTCCATCGCACTTAAACGTGCTATACCATCGTACTTTAGCAAACTAGCAATCATCGCACTTTAGCATGAGACACCATCGTACTTTAGCGTAGACCATCGCACTTTAGCGTGACCATCGCACTTTAGAGTACCATATCGCACTTTAGAGTCCTACATATAATATATATATATATATACAAGTCCAAATTGAAAACAACGTTCAAACCTATGATTGCGTTGGATAAAAACCGCAATTTTTATACGTGTGCATGCAATACATATATATATATATATATATATATATACATACAAGCTGATCCACGCCTAAATAGATTGGATGTTGATTGTTGCTATTTTTAGACATTATATATGTATATATATATATATAATATTCAATGCTAACCACTGAAATAAAAAAATGCAGTTTTGTATATGTCATAAACAATCCAATTTCATTAAAAAAAACAACAACAAAAAACATTAGTTGAAAAGTATTGTTTTAAAAACAAAAACCAACTACTTATATTTGATAGTCTTGTGGAACTTATGTATATCATATAGGTTTTGTTTAGATATACAAATAGTATACCAAAGCAACAAGAAATTAATTGTGACTTTAATATTTAGTGCATCTAGTAAGTTTTCTGTATATTTAAACCAATTTGCATATAGAAAAATCAACTCATTGGAACTTTGTTTTGTTAAACTACAACTACACTGTTCTCTTTTTCTAAATCAATAACTGTTGTTTTCTCATCAACATATTCATATAAAATAATGCATCTAAAGAGGATAATAATCACGATGAACATAACTCTACAAATGTTTCTTTTTTTTAAACAGTTATAGTTATTACACAAGTTCTATACTGTCAAACCAAGATATCGCTATGTCGACATTATAGAAGAGACTCGACTGGATAGTCTAAATCGTTAAATGTCCACTAAAACTATTGCCAGATTCATTTCATCAATGCCTACAAAAATAAATTCACCAACTTTAATCAAATTTTCCAAAAAAAAAGAGGACTGTGAGTTAGTAATGGTATCATTTGTTAAAAAGGAATGCTTTGTTATTACACACATTTACGAGTTTTACGTACTTGGTTCAGTAGTTTTCAAGAATATTGTTTTCTTCGTATTTCTCATAAAGCCAATATTTTCACTCACCAAGTGTTTGTTTCAGGTTCACCTAGAGAATGTCTTTTTTTAATGGTTGTGTCATTCAATGAAAACTAACATAATAAGGAGTAAATTGACGATTTACATCACTTTATTTTCTGTAGAACTTATCTAGTTAATAATTTCTGCTGTTCACAGTGTCGAACTATCTATTATAGTTTTCAAGACAATAGCCAACAAGAAAGTATGTCTTGTAAACACCATGCCCTGCTTGCACTATCATATTTCGATGTTTACCGAACCTCTAAAGTTTGGTTAATCCTAACTTGGCCTATATTTGTAAAAGGTTCACATCTTAATAAAAATGTGAACGAAGGTTCAAGTTAGTGTATGTGACTACAGCTTTACACGGGATACGGGATGGACAGACGGACGGCCTGTGGCGGACGAACAGACAGAAAACATACTGTTCTTGATGTTGTCGTTGGAGGAAGGTAAAATTGTAATTTACAGGCAATAACCTCTGTAAGGATTCGGATGAAAATATTGATTATTTGAATTAATTGTAGATCTAATTTTGCTGTTTCACTTTATCTTTAAGAATCACGTATCTTAGTCTGAATGTCAACAGGACATCGGTTTTAAATACCCAATATCTAAGGTAACTTAATGTCAACTTACAGATAAAGTGTTGCAAACATAATTGAAATTTCTTTCTTCTTCTTGTGCTCGTATTGCAGTTTCACATATTACATACGCCTAAAACATCAAGTAATCAACATTGTTGTAACAACGATAGAGTAATAATGATTAAGTTTAATGATCGATAATTAAAGGGACGGACTGACATCTAAAGACTGGTTGTCTTTGAAAAATCATTTTTTTTGTAGTTAAGGGAGTTTTGTGTTGATGACATATCTTTGATAATAATTGTCTCTGTTAAATTTGTTTCAAATCTAAATCTGTTCTATTTTATGTATTCAAACAATGAATATAATAAGTTCAATTACACATTCAATAACTCTGCAAAATTAAAGTCTAAAGTATGATTTTATAGTGCAACTGTGCTATTTGCGCAATAAACAGGTTAACGATATCGTTACTGGCTTCTAAAAAACCTAGTCTATGACATTAACTATACGTTAACCCGTTGGTTTTCCATTACGATAAGAAATACAATGTATTTGCGGCAATGTTTTTTTGGTAGTCCGCTTCATATTAAAAAAATGCATGATCTTTATCCGAAATAACCTCGATTGCTGAATATGCAAAACCATTGTAACTCATTTGTCAAAGTTGATCTTAGACATTTTTGAATTTTATATTCAAAGACAATGTTATGGTTTTCTTATTTTGAATTTATTTCATCAAATTGAACCCCTATTATATACTATGAATAAACTATATATTTTATACAAAATTATTATTTAAAATATTTTGTCAGGTAAAAAGTGTTTATTATCATCGTCACCCACGTCATAAAAATTAATATTTGATGATATTTTAAATTTTAATAATCAGATACATAAAAGGCTGCTGAACTTGAATGGTTCTTACTATTCACCATTCGATAGACACTTAAATCAATGATGGAATGCTGGTTGTCAATGCGACTGTCATACAAGTGAGAGGTTTAGCTAGATATAAAATCAGGTTTTAATCCACCATTTTCTACAGAAGGAAATGCCTGTACCAAGCAGGCATGGGGTAATGCAAATTTGTAATTGTAATGCATGGTAATGCATTACATTTTTCCAAGTAATTGCATGTAATGTGTAATGCAGCAATTTTTGCATTACATGTAATCTAATGCATTACTTTAACAAAAAATTGAGTAATGTCATGCATTACATTGCATTACATGGCATTACTTTTTTCACATACTATATATCTTTAACAGTTTGTTGGAGATGTAACTAAAGTAGAATTTTTATAATACAAGAATGACCAAATTACAATTCTAAATGAATAACACAACATTGTATATTAGATTGAGTTTTTTTTTTTTTAATTCATTTTATTTCATACATTTTCCTGCATAAAACGATATTTGAAAAGCATTACTGTAAAAGTGTTCCAATTGTTGTCAAAAGACCAATGAATACCATGTCATGATTAAATAACAGATAATTGAACATTGTCATAAAACACTAATTAGTTTGTTTTACAATCAATCTTTTCACCATTGTGACACATGGTCATATTAGAATTAAGCTCTATGTTTATTATATTATTAGGAAAGAAATTCTAAGTAAATCTTTTGATTGAAATTTAAAAAAACAAATTTATATGTATAAAAGTAAAGTTAACATTATATATTAAAGTAAGTATTAAATTCATCTTTGTAATTTCTTTTTAGAGAAAGCACATAGATGTATACCTTGAAACATTAAAACCAAAGAGAGATTGAACAGTTACTGCATATGCTAGAATATTTTGTGACTTCATGTTGTTTTTTAAAATGTTTAATTTTCTTTTCACTTGATAATAAAATTTACAAATGTAATGTGTAATTCAAAGCATTACTTTGCAAAAGTAATTGTAATTTAATGCATTACTTTGATAAATGCATGTAATTGTGATTGTTATTTTAAAGCATGGTTTTGTCAAAGTAATTGTAATATAATGCATTACATTGCAATGTAATTCGCCGCATGCCTGCACTACCAAGTCAGGAATATGACAGTTAATCTCCATTCGTTTGATGTGTTTGAGATTTTGATTTTGCAATTTGATAAGATACCTTCCGTTAAGTATTATCCTTGGAGTTCGGTATTTTTGTTATTCACTTTTTTTGTGACAGTGGATATCAGTTATAGTGAAATATTAGTTGTGTATTTATATGTGTATTTCTCTTTATGATATTATCTTACCTGATTATCCAGTTTCATAGAATTTCTGGTAACTCCATTTTTATCTATAATCAATAAAATTAATTCATTGTCTCTTATATCTTCTAATTACATGAGTTACAATGTACTTCTTTCAATAAACATAAACAAATATTTTGACTTAATTTCCTATGAGCATGAGTAATAAAAGTTTGAAGATACCAAGGGGTCATCATAGTCCTTAAATAAGAACTCTTGACAAAACAAAATCATTGATCTAAGACTAGAAACAGGACATATTAAACTACAGACTAAGTAATATGAATCATATAAATAACACTTATTGATAACGAAAAGAAGAAAAAGGGAGGCAAAATATAACATAGGGATATTCAAACTCATATGTCGAAAACAAACTGACAATTCCATGACGAAAGACGTATAACGACGAAAAGACAAACAGCACACAGAGCACAACATAGAAAACAAAAAGACGCAGCAACACGACCCCCGATGAAAACTAGATTGATTTCAGGTGCTCTGAAAGAGTAAGCAAATCCTGTAATTTTTTTAGTTAAAAAAAAAAACAGTAAATAAAAGCGTTGCTCCTTTAATGTGTTGTTTAAATAGATTGTGCGTATCAAACTCATTTTGTTACTTTTTAAATTTAGCCTTACCAAAGCTGTAAGTGTACCCAGCTGCTCATGTGGTAACTGTATGGTTACCTTTTGTGAAAATCAAGGAATGTTACAGACGAGGTAACAACAGGACTTATTTGTAATAAATGTTTTACCAAAGATGAAAATGAAATATCCCGTGTGATGTTAGGTAGCCCTATACGGCACCCAAAACTACCATACATATCACCAATTTTAGGACGAAATATAGTCTTTGAAATTAAAATTTAGTTTTTTTCACTTTCAGATGGGAAACATTTTAATGTGAAAAAAATGAGATTCATACAACTATTCCTGTCGGGTTAATATGATTTTTTTTGTAGACATCAAACGTGACGTTATTGGACGGCTAAGGATTGTCAAGTTTATTTCAATTGCACATGACTAAGATAAGAATTATAAAAGAGAACCTTTCCATACAATTATTCCTATTGAGTTTGAAATAACGTGGCCCAATTTTTTTGTAAAACAATTAAAGTGACGGCGGACGGAAAAGATGGCTCACATGCAAAACTGCATTTTAAAAACAAATTTGACAAAAATTTCAAAAAAGCCAATAAAAACTTTACGGAAGGCATTTTGAGGCATTAAAAGGGTAGGTAGGGAAACGGTTAACACAAGTTTTTACCTTATTTTGCCTTTATTATATTTTGAACTTTTCTTGCAGCAAACTTTCTTCTAAGGGACTTTTTCCCTTTATATTGACAGCATTATTTTTTCTGTAAATGAGAATTATACAAGTTGTTTCTTGCATTTGTCAACTACTTTTTGTTTTACTATCTCTATTTACACTCCCCTGAAATAATACCATTTAATTTAAAACGGATCTACGTTACCTGGAATGTATTTTCTTTTCCGTTCTGTTTGGGTTTCATCTGCGGAGCTAAACATTTCCCGAAAATTCTCCATTTTCCACCAAAAATGCTCATTAAGGTCTTTATCAAATTTTGTAACACCATTTGTGTGGCCGAAATGTTTGACCGTCTTAAATCCTTCATTAAGCATCGAGATGAACATGTTTATGATAAGGACTGACGAACAAAACAAGAAAAGGGTAAACATGCTTTCTAAGACTACATCAGTCGTGTGGAAAGCTTCTTTAAACCGGACCATAGACAGAAATGCCTGTAGTAATGTCAAGTAGGAAGCTAAAACGCTTCTGAATTTATATAATGTCCAGTCACCGTATAGGTACATAAAAGCAGCAAATGATGTCATGAGAATACAAACCATTATACCAAATGATAGTATTTCATTCTTGTGTGAACTAATAGATTTCTGCATCACAAACAGTTGGTAATTTAGACTAAGTGGTTGTAAAAGTTTCACTATTGCTAAAAACAATTCCGTTGACATGAACATTCTGTAAAATGTATCAAACACATTCACATCATCAAAGGAAACAAATATTTCTACAAAAGAAAAACAATATGATATACAGTTTTTTTTTAAATAATGGTATATCAGACTGATGTTTGAACATCAACAGAATAAATTTTGTCTTAAACTGTTCTAAAGATATATACTCAAAAACAAACAGCTTTCGAAAATAAATTATGTAATATAAAAATAATTGGGTGAATGAATGAAGTTTTTTCTGTCATTTTAAGAAAGAAAAAGAAGAATGGAGAGAATGAAAAGAAGGTAGCATTATCCTTTAACTTCATTTTCCGCTATATAGATGATGTCCTCTCACTAAATAATTCAAAGTTTGGTGACTATGTTGAACGCATATATCCCATCGAACTAAAGGAAACAACATACACAGTTAATATAAAAATAAGAAGATGTGATATGATTGCCAATGAAACAACAATCCACAAGACACCAAATGACATAAAAATTAACAATTATAGGTCACCATACGGCCTTAAATAATGAGCAAAACACATACCGCATAGTCAGCTATAAAAGGCCTCGAAATGAAGTCTGCTTCATATTTTGACTTGTATCTTGAAATTGACAATGAGGGTCGATTGAGAACAAAACTTTACGACAAAAGAGATGATTTGAGCTATCCAATTGTGAAATTTTCATTTCTACGTAGAAACATTCCAGCATCGCCTTCATATTGAGTATATATCTCTCAGTTGATACGATATTCCAGGGCTTACGTTTCCTATCATGATTTCTTTGATAGAGGGTTGCTGCTCACCAGGAAGCTATTAAAACCAAGTGTTCCAAGTGGTGAAGTCGAAATCATCCCTTTGAAAATTGTAAGGACGCCATCACGAGTTGATTGACGGTTATGGAATATCTGTTTAACAGATGACGACGGATATGTTCCAATTGTCGTTACCATAGTTACGTTATCTTTTCCTCGAACACGACCTACCGAATTGGACTGATCACCGGGTTTAGCTTGCATAAGCAACACGCGAGTGCCACATGTGGAGCAGGATCTGCTTACCCTTCCGGATCAACTGAGATCAGCCCAAGTTTTTGGTGTGGTTCGAGTTATTCAGTCTTTAGTTTTCAGTGTGTGTTTTGTATACGGTTGTTTGTCTTTTTCCCTCTTTTTTTTGCTAAGGCGTAGTCAGTTTATTTTCGACGTATAACTTTAATATGTCCTTTGGGTACTCTCGCATCTCTTCAAAAAATATTCTTAGGATTAAAAACATTAACGGTACCAATTTTACTGGGAAAACAACATCCAAGGTAAAATTTTAATTGGGAATTGTTTTTTAGAAACAAATATATCCACAATTAAGACAATAGAATACAATCTTTTTAAATTTCTTTTTCATTTTTAGAAATACATTTACTATTCCCGTCAAAATCAATGCTTACAACAATTTTCTTCCAGAAATAAAGTTTTGATACTTATGGTCCAACATCCCTTCCAAAATAATAAGCCTTTGGCATTACATTAGGTCATGCTCATCTGACTGCTTATAACGTCGTTAGTTAGAAGATCTGGTTTTATTTATTGATTGAAATTCGGACTTGAATTAACTCTCAGAAACTGCAAGTAATCTTAGCCTTTTTGCTTTGTTTTATTTTTACTTTTTGCTATTTGTTTTTATGCTTAGTTCAGATCTGATGATGATGCCATTTCCAACTGATTTTAACAGTTTGTTCTGATGTGGTCTCAACTCTGACCCAGATCAGGGGGAGGTTTGAATGCACATAAACATGTTATACAATTCACTAGTATTACAAAAAGGAAAATCTTTAGGTATAAACCGCCAACTTACCGGGTATATGAGTGAACGTCAATTAGCATATGAGATCTGAATCCAGACACCAAGCCCTTGTTATGTTAATAAAGAGCAACTTTAGGTCAGCGACATACTTGTTGGATGCCGAAGACGCATTATCAGACCAAAAGTTTAGTACTTAAGGTAAACAAATATCAGATATTTAAATTGAGACGTAAAGCCTAATATTAGTCTTATACAATATTGATATATTATTGGTCGGAGTGTCCTCCTCCCTACGATGTATCCTGTCAATTTCAGGATTGAAAGTTCTTTAATTTCTGTAAGTCAGAATGATATATGTTTTTGATTTGCTGCTCTGCTTCTCTATATGTATTATTGGACCATGTTGTGTAATTGTTATTTACTTAGTATCTCAGCTATGACTAATTAAACAGTTATGTAGTTTAAAAACTTATTCATAACTTCTAAATTGTGAAATGTGGGCCTATCGACTTTCAGATTAAAGCACATGGTCAGTCTGTCAGAGTTGCATCGCACACCTAGTGATATGGCTGTACATGTTTGGCTGTGGGCACACAGACGGAAACTTTGATGAGTTAACTGAAAATTACCTTTAGTGTTGTATGTCGCCTCGATAGATGATATAGTCTTGTCTATTCTTATTATATAGCATACTATTGCAGTTATACATAATCCAACACGCATAAGTTCAACCAAGTGTTCAGTCGTGTATCTTGACCGATTATTGTCTTTACATATTGAAAATACCAGAAAAAGGAGACGATAAAATGTCATTAAAAGGAATAAAAGCTGCAAGCCTAAAACAAGAAAGTCGGATGTGCTTATGTATGGATACAACTGAGTTGTCTTAACTTCCAACGAAGCTTCTACATTTCCCCATGGGGGTAGTTCGAACAAAATTCGCAAGCTTGTGTAAAGTTTGGTGTTGATGTTTAAAACCACCCCTTCAGCAACGACCAAACGGGTTTTGTCATTTATCCAATTGTTTGTTTTTAATTTCAGAATATCATTCCGTATTTCTGATTTGGTAGGATCTAAGACTTTTAAATAGCCACCACCAGCATATCTTGCAAATCGGCCAACAAAATGGGCTGATCCGGTAGCAAAGTCATCATAAAATTTAAATCCATCCGAGAAACACGCTTCTGTATATGGCTCCCATCCTAAAATAAACAGTAGCACTTTAAGAGAAAAGCAGTTTATCTAATAAATTAGAATCTTTAAGTTCTATCTTCAAAAGAATATTTCGTATTACGGTGTTATCATGAAAAACTACTGTAACTACTGCTACTGTTCAATTTTTCAGCACTTGCACTTTTGAAGTGAAATACGAGTATTATGTAGAAGAAAATCGAGTCTTGCGTACCAAACTATATGACTGGTATCATTTTATTTTTCAAACCACTTAGTCGAGGCCACTGGTGAAAATTTTGTCCCCGAAGATGATATCACAAACCAAGTAATCAGCACTTATGTGTTAACATGACATATCATTGATATGTTTATTTTCTGTAAAGTAGAAGGTATGATGAAAGCTAATATTTCTCCCCTAAAATAAAAATAATAATCTTATTCAAACCTTTCAAAATTATATTAATTCATTTGATAAATGAACCCTTTACTTTAATCTGAAATCCATATGACGTCATAAACGTTTAAACGCCAAATTTTGGTCGGAATTTATAAGTAAGAGCTTAACATAAATAAATATTTTACACACATTTACATCTTTGCAAATATAAGATAACCATAAACTGTCTCGAAATATAGAATTTATTTGAACAAGGCATAAACACAGGTAGAATGCGATGCGATGCTAGCATTTCTATTCTGTTTCGAACCGAATCTAAATAAAACTTATATTTCGAGACACTGTATGGTTTTTTGTTTTATACTGCAGCTCTTAAAACTGTTCCCAAATGAAATATTTTTTGGTAAAAACCATCAATTTTGAATTTGAATCGGACGACGTAAATATTCAGCGAATCTATATACTTTATTGACGTCATTAAAACACGGAAACGCATTGTCAACGTCATAAACAAGACGATGTATATGGCCAGCGACTGTATATCACATAGGAATATAAGGTTAAGGCAATTTGACTACTCAATTACCACAGTTGCAGTATAAAAATCATTTTGTAATAACTATCTTTCTGGGTAAAGCTCTTGCTCATATATCAAAATCGATGACACAATTTCAAAATGAGGCATTTTTTGGTGTTTTACACTTAATGCAAAATGTTTGAAACCATAATGCCAATATTTAAGACAAAATTCTAAAATATAAAATTGACCGACAGACTTATGTCCTTTGAACATCTGTAGGATGTTATTTAGTAGATTTATAATACTTTTTAATTTTCGAATTCAAACGGTAAAAATAGTGGCCTTATCAAACCATTTCCTTTACTGTTTATAAGATATTGAATTATCCATAAGACTTTCTACACCAGACATGGATTGCATTAGACGTGTTAAGCATATTTTTTTCGGTATTTTTGGTTTTTAATGTTCAACTTCTGATTTGATTTAGCCTCCCGACTGTTTTTATTCGAGAGCCACTGAAGCTTCTTATGCAGATAAAACACGCATCTGGCATACCAAATGAGCCTGCTGTCTTTGTTGAGTTCTTACAGGCAATGTGTCGATACCACTACAAATGGACGTTTCATCCCCGAGGGTATCACAAGCCAAGTATCTTCGATGAGTTTGTATTCTAATGTTTAAAAACATGTTGGGAATTCTCAAGATTTATTTTAAAGACACAATATTTACCTGGACAAAAATGTCCCGTGTCCTGTGCGTCTTTAGTATCATAGCCCATATTACAAAAGTTGACTGTTTTCGCCATGATCTTTGGAACTATACACTTTCCTATGACTAAATGAAATTGAACGTTATATCTAAATAAAAAAATTTTTTTTTGTTTCATCACATTATTTATAATGACCAATACCTTGTACATCCTAGTACTCTTATATGTTACAATTTCAAAAAATTTGAGAACTGCTACAAAGATTTTCCATGAAGTGTTGAAACCCTACCTATGGATAAAGAAGAAACTTTTGAACACTTCTCTGAATTCATTTGCAATATTACAATAAGGAGTGTTTCATTTAATTTTTTCCACTTAGAAAAACCGTAGATCGTTGTTTTGCCTACACATTTCCATTTTTGTCGAGCAGGTATTATTGATGTCAGCGACTTAATATTCCGTCGTCTGTGGCTTAAGTATTTTAAAAAAACTTGCCAAAACGGTAATCTTCAAGATCAATTTTTTCTTGTTTTTTTAATTCTGTATTTAATTGGTAAATGAACACACTTTTTACAGCCAACATTACATATTTACACTGACAGCAGCAATCGCTGGCGATACACAGGATTCCGCAGAATGCTTAACGATTTTTTAAATTCGAACGTATATGTGATATCTAACGTTAAATTGTCATAACAATGTTACTGATGATGTTTGACCTAACCGATTAGAATGACCATTTTTATTTAATTCACTTTAACATATACAGGCAAGTCTAATTACTGCGCAATGTTCACAAGAGTAAATGTTTATGTTTTTTGGGGACAAATTTCATTCGAACTGAAAATAGCTTACCCTTTACTCTAACCTGGCGTAATTGAATAAGACCTATCTTATAACTGCAGTCATCGTCCATAAATCCCCTGTCATAAACCAATCTTACGTCAACACTTGACAATCTTTTTGGGAATATCTTATTAATGAATTGGTCATTCAAATAATTCCATATATCATTTGTGTTGTTGACCTGTTAATGATAGTGTAAACAAGTTAATTTTGTTTTGTTTATATTCATGAGATGTTTTTTGATATACTTGAAAAACGTAATTTCCGATTTTAACAACCACAAGGGAAAAATAACTTAGTAAATATATCCTTTCATATAAGTTAAGTTTTTTCTATATGAAACATAGTCCCCAAATACACATTAAAATCTTAATTTGTGATATTTTATATCAACGAACATTTTGCTGATAAATGGTGTAGAATAGCTTGAATATAATATATTTTTCGTCGTACACAATCACTTTCTGCTAGAATTGTTCTAGTGAAAGGGAACAATAATTCCGTAAAAATTCCGTTCAAAATGTTTGTAGTGGTAAACCAAGTTACGATGGTGTCTGTTAATCATTTGAAGACATGTCATGTATTTTACCATTAATTATCTCTGCCTAAGGGGATTCTTTGTAAGAAGTAAGTATCTGTTAACATCAACCTGGCTGGAGACTCCATAAGGGATACTTCCACCGAGCACCAAGAGATGTATACTGACACTTAAATTCTGCATTTTGGAAATGTGAGGAGTTTGGATTGAAAATTATATGACGAGCTTATTAAACTAAATAAGTAACATTCTCTTGCTAAAAAATTATATTAAATTTCCAAGTCTTAAAAATGGGGGAAATTTCGCAATCAATTCTATATTGTGTCGTAGTTCTCCTCTTATATTTGATGTGTTTCCCTCAGTTTTAGTTTGTTACCCGGATTTGTTTTTTTCGCAATCGATTTATGAATTTCGAACAGCGGTATACTACTGTTGCCTTTATCTATAACTGTAGGTGCACAACTTAATTTGTTTGAAATCTTTTTTTTTTAAGTTTCAAGGATAGCGATTAAAATTGTGGAAAGAGTTAAATATCTAAAACTTTTCATCGAAACCCGCCTTCCCGAAACATCACCGTATTATAAGCCCATATGCACTTTGTGCAATCCTCCTAAAAATCGATGATAAAGATGATGCTTTCTACCTGCGGTTATGAGGGTGCCAACTGAATAACTGATGTATTTATTTATCTCCGTATTTCGGAATGTAAGTAAAGTACTACACATTTCAAAATCATCATATGCAAATGAACCATATTTAGTCAAGTACCTACAGTATCTACAGATCATATTATTTGTTTGAAACCTTTATCAAAGTATCACTTAAATATTTAAAATTCTTGTATACTCTGCAGTAAATTGTCTGTGGTAAAGAATGTTCATACAAGATTTTAACCTTGAGATAAAGATATTTAGATAAAAACACAATTTTTCAACTTTCTTTTCCTGCAATTTGACTGCATCTAAAAACTACATCTAGTCATTTTCAAGATATCCGTGGATTCTTTAAAAACATATTCATACACACAACCAGACAACACAAATACATGATGAACACGAGGTCGGGATATGTGGTCAATATTAAATAGCAATAGCAAACATTTTCTAAAGTATATGAATGAGAAAAATAAGCAAATTACGAGCAGTTATCAAATGCATACCTTGGATATCGGAGTCAACTGGTTTCTTATGTTCTCGTTTTGTAAATATGATTTTTCTACATCATTATGTGTGCATATAATTAAAACAAGAAAAACGTAACACAACTGGCGAGCAATTTTAGAGAATACTTCCAGTAGACGTTGATTTAAAAGACCTCTATTGACAGACGTCTTTCTCTTTCTGTTGCTGTGATTTCCTGGCCATTCTGATAATGGAAGTTCTGAAAATGAAAATACAACATATTTATTATAATTGTATAGTGTCTCCTATTGTAAAGTACAAAGCAATACTGCATTTCAAAATCTCAACAGCTAACAACATGAAGAATGTCATGTGACGTCCCAAAAAGAATAACGAAGTGAAGTGAGCCATACCTTGCAGCGATCACAGTGTTTATTGTAGTAAACATTTGTTATCGAGAACAAAAAATGCCAAATGTTTGGAAAGCCAAAATATAGAATTACATCGAGAACAATAAACATGTACAAGTATTAAAAAAAGATCTGTAAAAATAGCCAAAAATTTGGAAGTTCAAGGGATGATGTTTTTTCTTAATATGTGTATCCGATTTATAAACCAAATTTTCGTAAAACATTATCTTTTCTATTTAGTAAAACATTCTTTCGAGTGCACTTTCGTAACATGAATAGAACACACGTGTCCACCAATGATCAAAGGGCAATGATGTAAGAAGATATACTTTTGTTTAGGGGTAATACGTCGTGGCTTTGATGTTTCAAAACTATAATTATGAATATTTGTTACTGAAGATATTCCGTATATGCAATCTAAGTAGATTTTATGCTAAAATGGGGTATTTTATTGTGCGATGAATAATTTAACATACCAATAAGTTGAGTAAATAGACAAAATTTCATGAAACTTTCAATTTAGATTTCAACCATCCTCGAAAGTATTGAGGTTGTTTTTGGTATTAATTAATTAAACGTTTAGGCGGTAGATGACATTATTCGTGTGATGTTTCGGGAATCTGGGTTGAAAACTGTAGAAGGATCTGATCAAACAAATTAGGTGCCAACTTTTCAACGTCCGCCCGCCCATCCGACCGCCCGTCCACCCGCCTGCTAAACAATACCATACTATGACCCGACTCAAAATGGGACAAAGTCTTCAACATATGTGCAATCTGTCTGTCAAGTTTCAGGGATCTGGGTTGAAAATTGTAGGTAGAGTTGATTACACAAAACTTGTACCCTCTTTCATCAGTTTTACTGAAAAATGACCAAAATCCAAAAGTCGGGAAAAAGAGAAAATAAACGCTCCTAAAACAATTCCAAAACAGCAGGTAAACAACTTCAACGTATATGCAATCTTCCTGTGCAGTGTTAGGGATATATCTGAATTGAAAACGAATGGATGACTTGTTTATACAAATTAGATACCTACTTTTCCTGGCCCGTCCGCCTGACCGACCATCCGCCTGATAACATCACCATACTATAAGCCGGTTATGGACTTCGTCTAACCCGGCCAAAAATGAAATTATATTTTATCAATTTTGTGCTGCTACATAGATATAAAGATTGTTTTTCAATAGTAGGAAAGGAAACATTCCCGATAACAGAGTATATATGGTATAGAGAACGCAAATGCAATTAAGAAACGTATACATACTAAGAAATTAATCATGTAAATTCATACTTAACTTTCAGATAAGTCCTAGGTCTTACATTATTGGTATTTTGTATGAGAGTAGAGATCAAAGCCATTTCTTTGATGTGTTTCTCTGCATGAGAATTACAAAGGCATACTATCAGGATGGAACCTACAACGACCTACAATGCCAACTTAAAACATAAATTTAGATCGTAATAATGTGATAAAGCTTTATGTCAAAATTTTGCAGCAAAATAAACATAAATCATCATTTATTTACATGTCAGTATTATCATTTGTCGATACCTCTTCTGGTGGACTGTTAGTCCCCTAGTGTATCACCAGACAAGTAGCAAGTACTTTAATACAAGCATAAAGATACGGATATTGATTGGTGAAATTTGCCTTTATAAAATGATGGAAATCATTTTAGATTTAGAAGTATATCTCCCTTAAGCATAACTCTGATTTCTTGTCCGGATTTGGATAAAATTTAGATCCTTTTTGGCTTTTTAATGTTTGTATTAGTTTTTGGATTTTCAAATTAGTTTAGCCTCGTGCATCACTGCAGAGACATCTATTGTCGAAATGCTAATCTGGTGCAGTCAAATTGATACTGTTAATTTTATCAGTAGTTATACTTTTTATTAAGTCCAATGCATACAGAGTACCAAGTTGATGAATCTACAATGATCCAATTGATAGAATTACAATAAAAAACCCAAAACATATTGCTCACATAAACATGTAAACAAAAGTAAAATATACAACCCATTCGACGAAACATATTTTACAATACAAGTATTGTATAAACTGACGTGGCAATAACATGTAAAGTTTCGATCCAAGAACTGTGTTATTTCGTCACAAGATACACATTGATGGAACTTAAAAAGAATTTAAATGCATATAAGATCAGGTCTAAAAAAATGTAATTAAAAATCACCGATACAGCCATAATGAGTAAACGTAACACTACTTGATATCCAGCACACAACAGGGTGTAAACATTCATCATATACATACAACACAACTGACTTCGATAATCCAAGAAAGATACAATTAAATCAAACATAGAAAAAAGAACGTTTTTGTAGTTGATAGTATAGTAAAAGTTAATGACAATGACAATGACATATACACACTTTCACGATAAACAAGTGCCAACTAAGTAAAATATGAATACGAATATTTATCCCCAGTTTGTGATGGGGTTCGTGTCGCTCAGTCTTTAGTTTTCTATGTTGTGTTTTGTGTACTGTTGTTTGTCTGTTTGTCTGTTGGTATTTGTCTTTTTTATCAATGGTGTTGTCAGTTTGTTTTCGACTTATGAGTTTGAATGTCCCTTTTGATATCTTTCGCCTCTCTCCTACCAAATGACAATAACACTATAAACGTTTTCATGCATTCTAATCGTCCCTCTTGTCCACCCCGCTTGAGGCAGTCCCAAAGTCAAACCCCGAAAGCCGAATTACCGAGTTACGTCAAGAGTCATACGACCAAAAGGGACATAATAACATAAAATACATAGACAAATAAAGGGAAAGCTGAAAAAAGTAAATAAAAGATTAACAACATCAACGCCTAGAATCTATAACTCAAGACCATCCAGTATTATTTATCTATTAGGTCTTGGTACCTTTCGATGAACTTTAAGAGAAAAAAGACGAGACTTTCTATGAAAAAACTCGGGCTCATCATTTTTCCCCTCAGAAACCGATGATGTTTTACAAAGTATGAGTAGAGCTGGCTCAATATCAGCAATTTGTCTCAGGAAGGCGAAAAGGGTACCATTTCTTCCATTCCTCTGTCGATATCGTAAATTTGGATGATTGCTTCTTCCGAAGCGCAGACATTTTCACACATGTGGTAAAATTTTCGGGATACAAAGTGTGATTAAATTTTTCACAAATTGGGCAACTCCAAAAGGACCCATGTAATGCGGCGTCAGCAAGTAGAAATCCCCTTTTTTGTCCAATTAAATTATCTGGAAATCTTAAGATGACCGCTGGAGTCAAATTCGGGGTATTTGTCTAAAAATGAGACGGAAGAAACTGTGTCTGAGTTATCTTTGTTTGTAAGCTTACAACGTCTTGACATGAATTAAAGAGACTTAAGGTTATTGTCGATATATAAAATAAATTTAAATTTATCAAAGCTAAAATTTGTCAAAAAATATATGCGCAAGAAAAAATATCGTAACAATAAAACACAAAAAATATATGCTCAAGAAAAAAAAATCGTAACAATAAAACACAAAATATGGAAAGAGGTAGGGCCAATTTCTCTTTAAAAAGGACACTCAAAGAGCAAACATTCGAAGTTGTTAAAGGCTACTGGAATTTGATTTATATAGAGTCTAAATGGTACACACAATTTAAGATTTTACAACAATGTACATTGTATTTAAAAAATGTTAAAGGCAGCTTTGATTAATAGAGCATTTTGTTTTGTAAAATGTTGCGTCGATTTTTTTTTTCTTCTTCTGAAAGACATATATCATAGCTTAACTTTCAATAAAATAAAATTTTGGTTAAGAATATACTTCTTATTTAGATCAGCAAAAATTGCTGTTTTGAGCCATCTTTATTCATATAAAATGTAGTTACAGATTCAGACATACGCCGTAATTTTGTTTGAACCTTTAAGTGTACAATGAAGCAAACACACACTGTGAAATTTTAGTAATAATTGGAATACATTTATTAACCCCCCCCCCTCCTTTTCCCCTTTAGGCAGAGGAACTATATTGCATTCCCTTGTCCGTCCGTTTATCCATTCGTCAAACACATATTTCTGTCACACTTTTATCAAGGACTACTAAACAGAATGACAACATTTTTGGTCAGCAGCGTGACAGTGATGAGTTGTAACGTGTAGACAAATTTCGAATCTATCAGACACCCATTTCGAAAATCTTCTAATTTGCCAATATTTTGAGTAAAAAGTAACAAAAATAACAAAAAAAAAAACGAACTCCAAGGAAAATTCAAAACGGAAAGTCCTTTATTAAATGGAAATGGCAAAATCAAAAGCTCAAATACGTCAAACGAATGGAAAAAAAACGGTCATATTCCTGACTTGGTAAAGGCATTTCCTTATTTCAGTATTTCAATACTAGCATATTGGAGTATTTCAGTATGTTGGATGAACTTAATATTGTTCGTCACACATATCTCCAGTACTACTGAGCATAATAATTTCATATTTGGACAGCAGCTTAACAGTGACGACTTGTAACGCGAGAGAACTATGATAATATGTCAGACAATTATGTCCTTTTTCTAATACTTGAGATACAAGTGGGAATATGTTTAACGATAAAACATGTATTTTTGTTAAAAAAATACCCTGGTGTGAAGTATATTTATCGATTGGTTTTTGCGCTTTTATGTTTTCTGGAAGGAATGAACAATTATTAGGATTTCAAAATTTACTCTATATCTTAAATATGATCAACTCTTTAAACTCACTCGCTACATGTTTTCGCAGACTTATATATCATATACATGTATACAGCAGAAAAGTAGTCTAATCTGTAATTTTACAGTTAAGTCTGCTTCATATCTTGACTTACATCTAGAAAT